GTCCATGGAGCACCAGCAGCCTCCTGTGCCTGAAAGAAAGTGAAGTCCGACTGCTGGTCCTAGAGTATGGGCACCATAGGTGCCAGCACTTCAGGAATCAAATGTTTTCCAACAGCTGATACATAAGTAAGTGCAGATATCTCTCTAAATAGAGTAACAGTGAAGGGTGCTTAGATTTTATTTTTTTTTTTTAATTATTCCTCTGTATTTTGGTGAGATTTGGGCTACAAATCCGGTATTTCTCCTGCCCTGAAAGCTGAAGGGGTCACGCAACCACTGCTGCGTCTGGTGTTGGAGTTGCTCTTGGCCATCATGTTCTTCAGGCTGTTTTGCTGGGGAGGCACTGAGGAGCAGGGACAAGCTCTGGCAGGGCTGCTGCTAGGCACTGAATTTGGGATGTTTGTGTGATGCATGCACCCTGCAAGGACAGCACGGGCAGCTCCGTGGCAATCTCTGAAACGAATATACAAGAATGTAGGTTTATTTGTAGCAAAATCTGCCTTGCAATGGAGGGTTGTATATCAACCCAACCCAAGAGGTGGGAATGTGCATGGGGAAACTGGACTAGAGTTACCCCGTACCCCTGGCTTCGGATGAGTTTGCATGAAGGTTTAAAATAACTGTTTCTTTTATAAGTTTGGGCATCTTCAGTCTTTGCTTTGTCATTTTGTGCAATACTTCTTTGGTTTGGGATTTTGAAGTCCTTGGGGATTGTGCTCTGGCTTGTGTTTCAGCTGAGCCCAGAGGGCAGGAAAAATGTGGAGTGTATTAACTGTACATCAGATTTTCCCTAGGATGTTATTTTTTCTCTGGAGATGGAAGCATTAGGAGCTTGTTACTTTGATTTCTGTTTTTTTATATTTTTTTGGCATACTGCTGACTTTAAAATGTATTCACTTGTGTTTCTCTTCAGTCTTTTACCTACAGACCACAGGGTACCCTGAGGCCAAGGGCAAAGTCTGAATTGCTTTAAATTTTGGGTATGGCCCATTCTGGATATGTCCCCTTGCAGAAAAGTCCTAGACAGATCCCTGCCCCAAGGAGGGTACAGATGAGGGGAAGCAGTGAAAGAGGTGACAAAATCCAAATACGCTTGAGCGCTTTGGTTGTCTCGCCTTGCTCTAGTGGTTCATACGTGCAGTGTGTGGCTACTGTACATTGCTGGGTGGCACAGAGCAGCCAGGGGCATTCCGAGTGACTCTGGCCTCGTCTTTGTCAGGCAACAACTGAGTGCTTAATTTCCACTCTAGTGAATCGGAGGGAAGAAGACGGAAAAAATAATGGGCAGAGAAGCGCACAGGGTTGAGTAACCGTGCAGAAAGGAAGGACAGTGCCAATTGAGAGAAAAGACAGATACTGCTGTTCATTTCTGAAGATACTGTGCAGAAATCTTTGGTGTGGAATGACAGATAGAGCTGGCAGCGACAGCCAGAAAAGCAAGGGGGGAAAAACGTCCTGTTTTTCAGGCCATTGGAAACTTGAGGTCCTCACCTGTTTGTCAAGTTCAACGGAGTACAGCTGAAGATATGGATGAAAAAGCAAGCCGATAATACCAATTGGCAGAGAATTAAAATAAGGAAGTTGAACTGTAGCCAAACCAGTGAAAGCTGGTGGTGTTTTTTTAAATGTTCTATTTATTAAAAAGATATGTATAATCACAAAAAGTTTTTGCCCCTTTCTCCTCCCTCTTCGATTTGATGTGCCGGCTTGCCAGGAAACAATTCTCTACCGTAGCCTTTTGTCAGTGAATTTGAGCTTTACATCAAACACTGATATAAAGAGAGTGGGTTTTTCTTCTAAAAAGCATTTTATTCACTTTTCTCTAAACATTTTTGGGAAAAACAGTTGAAGCTAGAAAATTGGCAGAGCTGGATGCCCAAGCCATAGAATTCTCTTTCTCCATACTGGAGAAAACCAGATCTGATCCAGCAAAATTATGAGAGTTATAAATGATCTCCCAACACCCCACTGGTCACCCGCTGTGGTCAATTATAGTTTTGAAGCTGGCATACAAGTATCAGATGTTTGGCTATTGCATGTCTTTACTGATCTCCAACCCGAGTAAAACCCTTTGGCGTGACATATCCTATAATTTGTTAAGTTTTCTAACAATGGCACATTTTGCATTTCATTTGCACTTTTCATCCAAGAAACTAAGAATACGCTCCCTTTGCTAAAGAACAGAGTAATTAATCATCAGGACTGTTTGTAAGGAAAAGACCCGGCTGTGGGAACAGTCATAGACAAAGTAGAGAAAAAATGTCTATTTCCCACTGCTTTAATCACTTGGAGAAATATCTCCTGTACATATTATGATTTTAAACTATTTGTATCTTATTTGTAAAGATCTTAAAACAGTATTTTTTTTTTCCGCACTTAAGGTGTGTTTTCACTGAAAAAGATTTTCTTGTTGGATATTCATTTTTAAAGATGGCATAAAGCTGTGTTCTACTACTTTTTAGAATATTAGATCGTTTACACATCTGTTTTCTGCAGGGAAGACTCTTTGAATTTTGTCTTAATTTCTATCCATTAAAATTATAAAGAATAATCTAGATAAATGAGAAAGATTTCCAAGAGAGAATACTTATTAAAATGTGCAGGCAAGTCTGCATTTTAAATCCAGGTGTTGATACTTCTCAAGCTCTGTTTCATCCCCAGAATATAAATGTTGCTCAGTGCACCAAGTGTTTATGCGAGTCGACCACTGAGCAATGCAGGAGAATTTGGAGAGCTTGTTTGATAAGACGTTGTCACTCTTTATCCCTTACCTCTCTGCTTTTAATTCTTGCCTCCCTGTTGCTGTGTCAGATGTCCTGTTCTTTCTCTCCAGGGCACTTGTGACCTTCCAGACACGCATATGGTTTTACTGTGGTTGTTACAATCCCGGGACCAGAGCCAGTGCTGGGATTATGGCTGTTCCTGCTTCTCTATCTCTAGCATTCAAACAGGCTATTAGGGAGTTTGTTCTGGTGCTGTTGTTATGGGCAGAAGATGATCCTGGTTTAGGTTGCTGCCTCATGGCCATGGTGGACAAGACCTTTGGTCCAAGTTTTCCCACTGTATGCTTCTGCTTTTTGTTTTGAACGTGCTCACTGCAGCTGCATCGCCTCTTTCCTCCCAGGATGAGTGTATTTGGTCCAGTGCTGCAAATACAACTTTTGGACTAAACTATTTGCAGGGAGGAGATAAATGCGGGGAGGGAATCTAAAGCAGTTTTAGTGGAGCTAACAAGGTAGCTGAGAAGCATCTCCTCTCCTCATCCACCTCTTGTGGTGTTCCAATGGAGTCATGTTGTGGGGCGGTTTTGTAACTAAAGTAAACAGGGATTAAGTGAGGCATTCTGCCCAAGACCACCAATGTTGTACCTATGGGTAGAATTATTGATCAGTAGAGTTAGACACCATATATTTATTGAGTTTGGAAACTAGGTAAGTTCTTCCCCCTGAAGAAAAGTACTAAATATGTACATTTTCCTTAATGTAGTGTTGTGGTTTGGGCCAGGTTTGCCAACGATGAGACAACAGATGCTCTCCCCCACCTCTCACTCCAAGGAGAGGAAGGAGAGAGATAAAGAGATTTATGAGTTTAGGGAAAAACTAAATTACTTCAATGAAATGTTAATAATAAAATAAAAAGGAAATAACAAAATAGATGCAATATATACAAAACTGTGTCAAGTTCGCAGGAAGATGTCACTGGCAGGCATTGGGAGAGTTCCAGACTGAACTCGGTGAGGAATGAAAACTGGATTCCAGAAATCACTGATGGGGATGGAAGGTAGACAAACTGACAGGGTCCTCCTTGTCGAAGAAGAGCCCTTGAAGAGGAGTCAACCTGACCCCTTCGATCCCTCTGCTCTTACACTGAGCATAGTGGATGGGATGTTATACCCCATCGGTCAGTTTGGGTCACCTGGCCTGTCCACGCCTTCCCACAGGCGTGAGTCAGCCAGCCCTGGTCACCACAGCAGTGTCAGCAAGAGCCTCTCTCACTGAACAGAAAGGTGGCTCTGCTCCACCCCAAACCAGGACGTGTGTTTTGTGAAGTCTTCTTGGGCCATAAAGGCAGAACCTCTCCCCTGCCTCCAGCAGGTCTCCAGCTGTGCGTGTCCCAGGGGTCCTGGGAAGGTGATGCTGTGGGAGAGCATGGCCATAGCTGGTTATTTATAGACCACAGGAAGGGAGGTCTTGCTCTCCAAGCTGGACTTCCATGCCTCTGTTACCCAAGGATGGTAATACAGCGTTTGCTCTTGTAAATAAGTTCTGTTTTTTAACACGACAGTGATTTTGATTAATAAATGTGTGCCCTCTATCTATGCCTGAGGGTTTAGATGTCATGGTAGAAAGTGACTTTTGTGCCTGGATGAACGTGTATGTAAATTGTTTTATGTCAGTAGGTCTACTTATGTCCTGCCTCACAAAAATTCATAGCTGCAAGGACTTCTGCATAATGGGCTTTTGAAGCCCAGCAGTTCAATTGCCAGGAGTTGTATTTGTAAAGGAAATTCGATAAGCCCATCAATGACACTGTGAGCATCTTGATGCTGTCCAGTATCTTGGCAATTGTCAGTGAAGTTCCCCTTACAGGAAAATCCTGTAGATGTATTGTCTGTCTCATATATCATTTCAAAGACAATCTTTAAGAATTCTTGTCACTGAGATACCGTTTTCTAATAAATTTGTTTGGATTTGGAGTAGTTTCTAGGAAGTTTCTTTGGAACCCTCTTGATATTCTCCTTGGGCAATTCTCTAGGATTTTCTGTAAGAGTTATCCCTAAGTGATATCGTAAGTGACTGGAGGATATTCAGAAGAGCTAACGAGGGCAACTGCTGAGAGCATGAGTCATCTGTGGCATTGAGTTATAGATGTTGATTGTCTTTGAGCTCTGCACACACAGGCTGTGTCTTGGAATGTCCCCAAAATGATGTGGTAGCAGCAAAGTCATCCATACTGGCTGCAATTACATTGGACTTCTCCTTTCTTTTTACCCACTGTAGGTGTTCTCTGCCTGCCGGACAGCTTGAACCTTCACAAAGATCAGCAAAGGTCAAACAAACCTGGGGAAGTGCAGATGTTCAGCCAGTCAGAGCTAAGGACCATCGAGCAGTCTTTACTTGCTACGCGTGTGGGGAGCATTGCTGAACTCAGTAAGTACAAGGTCTTTCATAATGTTTGGGTTTCTGTCCTCAGAGTAAAGCAAAGCCTGGTGATGCAGAGGAGAGATGAAGGGTCATGTGTAATGTGGAAGGAGACACTGGGTCAGATCTAGCCATGGTTATACTCTATGACCAGTTTGAAAGCTGAAGCCATAGGAAGAAGGAAGTCTCATAGCGGTGCCTATGACTTGTTTGCATGCAGTGCTCTAATTTTTAAAGGTGAAAGATGCTTTATTTCACCTTCCCTGCACTGCATTTGAGAGCCCCTCGCAGCTTGGCCAGACTTGGAAATGTCTGCCATACTGGTGTCCTGTCTCATTTCACTGGGATTCCTGTTTTGAGATGGGCAGGCAAAAACCTGAAGGCTGCAATAAGTGAAGGAAAGTTTGTCACAAATTTAAAGCAGAGCTAGTTCCACCTGTGTTACAGAGGGTCCTTCACCCTGCCTTTCCTTCTCCGGTTACAGCTGAGGAAAGAACTCAATCCTGCACCAGAGGAATTTGCACCTGAAAGATAAATTATTTGCTATTAATCAAAACACTTTCTGAGAAATGTAAGAATCTATGATGTCTGTCAAAATCCGAAAGCTTTGGTTTCAGCGCATGTAAATTGTAGGAGGTAAATACCATGTGAAACTTCATGTGACATGGAGGTAAAGTTACCAGAAGTACCTTTTTCCAATTTTTTTTTTTAGTAAAAAAATTCCAGTCACATGTTTATGGTATAGTTAGAGATATGAGGCTATGTATGGGAAAACAGAAATGTTCAGACAAAAAAGGATTTTTTTTTTCTGAAGCCTGTCAGAAATACTGTCAAGTATTTTTTTTCCTGAGATCTATTAACGAAATTTTTGGGAAAAGTAGAAGAGACTGAAATGTATGAAGATACAGGCTGCCCAGCTTACTGTTGTTCTTATTGCTGAATTCTGTGTTAGCAGCATCATAAAGAATGCATACAGGGATCGAAGGTTCATTTTCCTGGCACTTTCTGTAGTAATGTGAAGTCTCCTTTGTAGCTTCATCATGTCATCAGGGCTCAGTTCACGTGCTGTTTATGAGCTGTGTGGAGGCACCACGGATGTTTGTCTGCAAGCCACAAAATGTATTTCAGTTTTCAGCTTGCTAATTTTGATCTATTTGGTGAAATGTCAACAAGCCAAGAGCCCTTATATGCCTTAGTGTGAAGTGTTGCTCCGTCTCTAGAATCAGGTGTTTGGTGTTATTCCAATTAAGTAATTTATGCTTATTTATTTCACGTGCATGAAACACACAACAGTTCTGTCTGTGTGCCAACTAAATTATGCATGATACAGCTCTCTTTCTTAAAGTACATATAGTTGTGTCTTAATAAATAAGTAATCCGTGGATATTTCGGGGCTTTTTTTTCATTTTAGATTTTTTTTAACCTCTGTAGGCAACCCAAAAAGCCAGACTCCTTAATCCTCCCCCCTTTTTTTTTTGATTTCTAGACATCTAGCATCTCTAAGTAGTCCTACCTCAGATTCAAATGCTTGGTTGATAGGGTTTGCTCTCTCTATGTCTGTTGACTGCAAACACAGGCAAAACACTCTTCAGGGTGGCCAACTCGAAGAAAAGTGAGCATCAGTGGGAGTTAGATGCAGCTGTCAGAGAGAGGCTGGCACCTCCAGCACGCTGGTAGCCCTCCAGAAAGCCCTCTGGACAACTGTCGAGGGTACCTCCCCAGCCACTGCAAGCAGATGCATGTTGGGGAAGAAGCTGTAGGAGGAGTGGTAATTGGCAAAGCTTGCAAGCCTTGATGCTCATTTGAGTAGAAATCTCTGCTGTGGAACAGTGCCGGCGCAGAGCTCAAAACTGAGCTGTGAAACGTGGAGGGAGGTGCAGCGTGTCCCAGTGGATTTGGGGGAAAATCCTAAAATGCAAGGAAAAGGGAGGGGTGGAGGGTGCAAAGGGGTTTTTGCTTTCGGTTCAGTGCTTCTGTATCTGTCTCTAGCATCAGCAGAGGCTGTGACTCAGAGGTTAGAGCAAAGCCTCTGCCATGGAGGGAGGCTGGGGAACCACAGCGTGGGGGCAGAAACGCTGAGCAGCGGGGCAGAAGCCGGGGGGGAACACCTGGGAATGAGGGTGCGTTGGCGGGGAGGGAGTAGGCAAAAGAGGATTTATTGTTGCTTTGGTGGTGTGAGGGGGATGGAGAGCTTTAGAAGTGGCGTTGTGGAGAGGAAAGAAGATACGACAAGCTCTGGCGTGGAGAAAGCGGGATATGAGGGAAGGGTTAGCTACATAAAAGCCCCTGCTCTTGTGGAGATGAATAAAGGTGATGAGGGAGACTCTGGATAGGAGGGAATTAAGAGGATAGCGCTTGCGAAGACGAGGAGATGGCAACCAGAAGTGAGTGGCAAGGACAGGAGCTTGGCCTGCTGGACCAGCAGAGCAGGCAATACTTGGGCATGTCTCCGCAATGTCCCACCAGCTTGTAATATCCTAGGAGCCAAGACTTTACTTCTGTTCTCTTCAAAAGAGCACAGAAAACAAGGGCAAAGAGTGATCTTGCAATAAAGCAATTTAATTTTATCTCAGACAAAAGAAAAAAAAAGGCAATTCTAATTGAATGAGATTTCCTATAGTTTATCAACATTAATAATTAAAGTATTGCAAGTATGCAGAATAACTAGAATTAATGCCTGTGTGTGGAGGAAAGGCTTCCCCTGCTCTCAGTTCTGTCCATCCTTACACACAGTGGTGTGGCCGGCTGCCGAGTTGCTGGAGACTTTGAGACCAGGAGATCAAATCTGTCCACTGGAAGATGACAGCAGGCAAATGGGTACTGCCTGGTACATGTATTTCAGCACAAGTCATCTTAGTTTCTTCATGATCTTTGTGTCTGTCCCAGGTGGAAAATAGATTTACAAGGTGAAAAGCCTTGTGTGTTGTGGTATCTTCACACTAGCTTATACATGATGCTCTCATCTGTCTGCTCCCTTAGTTTGGTCCTGCATATTGTCGACAAATTAGAAGGAGGTCAAGCCAAGCTGCTCTTGAGGGGCCTTCGTGGCCAGGAAGGTGTAACCAGACTCATGGACACTGTTCCTGTGTTGTTGTCGTTGCTCGCCCCCACCCCCAAACCCTTCTTGCTTGAGCCTGGTGGTGCTTCTGCTCTCATCTCCTGGGCTTAGGAGGTGGCGGGCACTGATCTTCTCTGGGACAGCCCTGCCCTGCCTGGTGGTGGCAGGGTGGGGTGGTGCTGCTGGCCCTGAGGCGCTCTCCCAAAAATAGGAAGAGTGGATGTTGCTGACTTAGGGAAAAAAAATCAAAGGAAGGTTTCATCTCCAGGATTTAGGAGGAGAATGTAAATAGAGACCTAATTCTGCAATGCAATTACAGCGGTAATGTGTGATTCCAAGGAAAAGGCTTGAAAAATTAATGTGAAACCTTATTCATTAAAATATAATGAACATGGCACAAAGTTAAGGAACAACAATAAATTTGGCCTACGTTATTATTGGCATTTAGTATTCAGGAATTGTAATTGCCTACTACAGTGTGTTTTAAAATAATGTAATTTCATTTGAAATGCTTATTATATAGAGAACATTGGGAAGAACTGAAGCACGGCAGAAAAATAATATGATTTTAAACAGTAGCCTGACAGTATTTCACTGTTTAATCTTGGAGAAAATATTTCACAAGACTTTTTTTGGTTGGGTTTTTTTTTCCAATTTTTCCTAAAGTTTCTTATATTCCCAGGCCATACCTCGAGTACAAGGGCAATAGACCTGTTTAAATTTTTTCAGAAAGTTTTGGGAATTCTTCTAGATTTCTGTTTCTTCTATTTTCTCCACCTTGAGACAGAGAAAAATAAGTAGACTGAATAAAAAAAGAGAGGAATATCAGGGAGAGCTTTGGCTATCGAGAGATCCCATGCTACTGCATTTTGACCTTTTAATGCTTTTCCTACCTTCTTTATATGCGTGTTTGCAATCCACAAATGTTTATGTTATGTTTAACTGCATAGCACTCCAACACACCTATTCATCACCCGTCTAAAAATACCACTGCTGGCGTGGAGACCAGATGCAGAGGGGATGAGGCTCACAAGTGGAGGTCACTGGTGTTTTGCTGGATGAAGGAGGACTCTCTTTCTCTTGTGTGTGCCCATAGGGGGTGACAGGGAAGAGCAGAGCCTTAGGGTATGCTGGCCACCAATGCTGGCACCAAGAAATATTCCTCCCATGTTGCCTTCAGGTGAAGACCTTAAGGTGTTAGCATACGGCTGAGCAGGGAACACCACCCTGTGCTGAGGGACATGTGAAAGGCTGCAGGTCGATGTCTCTGGAGCTGCACAGAAGAATAAACTGTGGTTTAGGATCTCATCCAAACTGTCTTCACACATCTTTTCAGGTGAGAGCAGGAAACTGCTTGGGGCCTGCTCTGCGTCCAAAGATAACAAGTCCACTATGGCTTTTCTGGGTGGGAAGTTGGCCACGTAGTCTTTTACAAACCACAGTGACTGGTGGTGGTGATGGTATTACTCTGTTAACCACAACAAGTCGGCATTTTTATTTTAAGCTAGGATAATCTGAAGATGTGGATGCAATTTAACACTGCTGATCTCAGAGCTTTTTAGCCTTAGAATGGTGTTTAACTTATAGGAGCTCTCAGATTTGATGTTCAGGCTTGTATTTCCTCCACGTCACCACTCAGGTCTCAGCAAGGTTTTCCTTTTTGCCATTGGAAAAACTCTACCCTTCTCTCATCATTCTCTCTTTGCCTCCACAGTGCTGAATGTATATATTTCCAAAATAACAGCCTCACAGTAGATCTTGGCACATTTTTAGGGATGAAAGGAAGGGTTACTGCTCATGTGTAAGTAGGAATGTGATTGCACATACCAATGCTGTTTTTCATTTCTCCTCGCAGCTCCAGCCGAGGAGATGATGAAAGTCGGCATCCTTTCCCTTGCCTTTTCATCTAGTCTCAGTCCTCTGCAACCAACAGGAGGGAGCACTGCAGGAG